ATTTATGTTTGTTTCTTTTAAGAATGTAACCCCTTGTCTACCTTGATCTTCGTATCCGTCACATATAGATGGTGTTTGGTGGTGACTAAAATTAAATTTTTAGTAGATTGTGATAGAAGTTTTTGAAATGTGTGGTTGAAAAGTTGTGGGACATATGAAAAAAGTGGTTAATATTGATTATTTGACTTTGACTTAGATTAAAATCAGACTTTAATCCGGACCAAACATGAGTATAGCATGATTCGCCCTTTTAAAGTTATGACGATGATGTAAGGAGAAATTTTACTACCGCTAAGATATTAAAAAAAAATAAAAAATGCATAAAGGCTTGAAATAGTCATGTTGTTAAGATTTATTTTTTAAAAAATGGGACCCTATTATTCAACGTGGTACGTTCAATTCATCAAAAACTCAATCGAATCACCTTTTTATCGAAGCTAGTCAAAAGTTTAAACTCATACTATTAAATATCAAACAAAGCGTGTTTGATATATTTGTTCTATAACACTTTTGACAAGTCATACTTTTTTTATCTACACATTTCATAAAATTCAGAACTACTACTAATTTATAACTTGCACGATTCGTAGAATTGAAATTTTAATTTAATCACTTATTGAAGATGCTCTCAGACCATTTATATATCATCATCAACTTAAAATCAAAATGCATCTTCCACTAGAAGACTTGTGAAAGATTCTTAAACCGAAGGACAAGGCCAAGAGACAAGTTTGAAACTCACATTTTGGTTTCAACTTTCCCATAAATCTTATCATAATGTTGTAAAGGTACAATGATTGTGTATTGAAGTACTATCTGGTCAAAAATCATCAATTGGAATCCATGGAAGAGGGATAATTTCATTTTTGTCACTGAACTTTGAGTAAAATCTTTATTAGGCTACTCAATTTTAATTTGTCGCAATTATATCACTGAAATTTAATTTACTCTCAATTTTAGTCACTCCAAAAGTCCGTGTAACCAAGCTTAAATTCCCAGTTTAGCTTTCTCGTCCAGGTAAACATGTCACATAATCATGTTATGGTGGTAAATTTTGAAACGATGAATATATAGATAGAGCTTTGAGCAGCTTCGTTGATTGTTGATTTTTAAACGCGGTTTATTTATATACTTTAGGAGAGGAGTTGTGAATTATAAATTATTACAAAATAAGTAATTAAAAAAAATTATTTCATTGGCATTTTATATGCTAAAGTATTGTTTGATTGTGTGCCTTTCACATCTAAAAGTGGCAATAATTTTTGACAAAGGTGCCTCTTAGATTTCAGTTAAAATAATTAGTTATTCTTTTTGAAGATGTTCGAAGCATTTATTTGACTTGATCGACTAGATAAAACTGAATAAAACTGTGAATAAATATCTTATTTCTCTCACTTTTTAATTATGTGTAAATTTAACATACTGAATAGCATAAACCTATCATGACTTTTTACGAACATCGTTATCATTTCGAAAGAGTCTATAAAGTTTGGACATGAATATTTCATTAGTGACACGACAGAACGAGTCTCAATAATAGTTCAGCAACAATACAACAATGTCGATCATTACAAGACAGTATCGAGACATAAATTCACATCAAGACACCACTTCAAGTGAATAATTCAGGAAGAGCTTTCAAAAAGAGAAATAATTATTCCAATACAGGCTCGTTGATTTCAACTCGAGAATCAAATTGAGAAAGTAAATGCCTTCAAAATCCTCCATAAAATGCAAGATGTATCAGTTCAATAGGAAGAGCTAAATGAGAAAGAGAAACTATATAAAAAAAGTTGCATAACCTAAAATTCTCTTATATAGAGAATTTTTAATATTGATTGTGTTTAAAAGTTCCTTTTTAAAAATTAAGTTAAAAGTTACCATGAAAGTAAGATTTTTTTTGTTAAAAAAGCAATCTTGAAATTCATGTTAAGAAAAATAAGTAACTTGAAAGTAAATTTTACTTATTNTTGAAAGTAAATTTTACTTATTTTTAAGTACATTAAAATCAAGAAACTATCAATTCACAGACCATGCCAACCACAAGTTAGTAGCATCAAATGATTCATATGAGCATTGATTAGACACCGCTATAAAGGGTTAAAACATGATCATGCATAATTTTAAATAATTCTCCCTAAGCTCTAGATTTTGAAAATTCTTTGATCCTTTGTGCAACATGTTGTGAAACTTTCTCAAGTTAAAAGAGTTCTTTTCGGAGTCTTGTACGTTGAATCGAGTAAAATAGAGAGAGAATAAAATTTATAGTATGCATGTTATTATAGTATTTGAAAGAATCGACCAGGTCTAAGCATGAGTGGCATCTCATACCCAATTACAAGTCCACGGATAAAAGTACCATATCCATATCCATATTCCTTGACACCCACAGCCAATCATCCGTTCCAAGTTAGGACTCAAAGAACTTACGAATGGGATGTGCAGAATTGTAGATGGTTCAACTAGCATAGACTATTGAAACTTCAATTTAGCAACAACATCATGATAAGATATGATGATAATGCTTGAAAAAAAACTCGAATTGAAGTACTACATACCTAATATATTCTTAGTCGTGCATATTTCAATGCACGAACTAAATAATGAAATTCTACCGGAAATTTATAAGAATAAAATATCACAAATCTACTTTTTTGGTGATGCATCAAAATTTGAAGAATATGAATGCTTTACTTAAAATCATCCTCTCCCCCCTAATTAGATAGCTTTCCAACTTTGAAAAGATTCAAAGTTGTACATGATAATTTATGTGGATCAACTCTAGTTTCATGCATGTCACTATAATTGAACAGTAACTAAGTAGTAAAATTTCTTGACAATGATCAGGTTGGCATATATCCATAAGGCACCTAAAGACAGTCTACAGTTCATTTTAGGGCATCCATATAGCTTTTAAGGCTCTAGGGGATAAATTTGAATTGTCTACGTAGACAACATAGGCAGACATGTTTTACGCA